TATGCACAAGCTATCCTGATATTACAGCTGTTCATAGATAACATCCAAAACCTTGGGGAAACTTCAAACATAAAAAAGCTACAAGAAATATACGTTCCCAATTATGTTAGATATTTAATTAAGTTTACACTATAACCTTATTTTGTTAAAATCTTTGTTTTTTAAAATAATTAGGTTAAAAAAACAAATAAATACCTCTTTCTCGTCTGTGGTGTTTCATCAATGCAACACTAAAATATTCTATCAAACACTGTCGAAATCGGTCTTTTTAATGTATTTTTGTATGAGTTACATACATTTATTATTAAATTCAATTATAATAAATACATATATTTTTAAATATTTTATCTCAATTATATAATAACAGACAAACAGTAATTGTTGACTAATTTCTTTCTTTTTAATTTCCTGTCTCTGTGTGTTATTTTTAACTGAGTTAAAATATGACAAAATATGGATTATAAAACTAGACATGAAACATTAATGTCAGTGTTGTTAAAAAGTAACAGTAATCTAATTTTTATTTCTGAGCCTTTAGTAGTTTGTTATGGAAAAATCCATTTATTTATTTGAAACATTCTCCAACTTGTCAATAAAATTAAATATAAATACTTTCTGTTAATAAGCTAGTTACAGAAGTTCAATAGAAAAAGATTATTACTTAAAATGGGAACAAAAATATAAATGTAGCTGCACCCACGATTTTGTTTGTGTAGCCGAAATATATTTATTGAGTGGGAAGTGGCATTCTATATATATATATATATATATACTAGCTGACCCCGTAAACGTTGTTTTACCACTTATTGCGAAACATAAAAATCGCAGTCGCAATCACAAATCGCAAATAAAAATTTGTCAAAAAAATAAAAAAAAAAATTTTAGGGGTGGGTCACCCTTATTCTTGAGGGGTATAAAAAATAGATGTTGGCCAATTTTCAGTCCTACCGAATATGCACACAAAATTTCTTGAAAATCAGTATAGCCGTTTCGGAGGAGTTTGGTAACAAACACCGTGACACGAGAATTTTGCCTAATTTTTTGGCATAGTAATGTTAGTATTACTGAAATTACTTGGTTTTGTCTTGGCTCATCCTTTATTCATTTGTAACTATAACAAATTATACTTTTCTTCTTTGAACCATTTTATTTCTTTACGTTCCAATTACACTTTTATTTATAGGCAGGCATCAGACATTATATATAGGCCTCTTATAACTATGTTCAAGTGCACGAATGCTTTTTCCGTTAAACCAAATGCGCGCTCGTGGACTCGCTCACAGTTTCACAACTTTATTTATTTATTTTATTATAATTTTCTAATAACTAAGTATTATAAATTAACTTACTTATAATCATGTTGAATCTTAACATTGTGCAATGATTAATTAAATAATGTGTTCTAGTAAAAATACTGAACAGTCATTTGAATACCTTATTATTCTTTTACATAAGTGAATACAATTACTTACAATTGTTTAGTGTATTGTAAAACATTGATATTGATTAATTTGTTAGTGTGATACATTCAAATAATAAATATTTCTGTTTGTAGAAAAAGGAAATACAATCACATATTTAATTCATTTAAATAAAAATAATAGTTAAATGAGAATCTTAATTTCTGTTTGCAGCAAAAGGTAATACAATCATTTATGTATATCGCGAATTAACTTTATGATTTAATAAAAAATCATGAAAATATTTTATGAAGGTAATACCAAGTTAATGTTTCCTCGTTCACAGCTACAGATAATAACGCTTGCGCCGATATATATATACTAGCTGACCCGGGCATATCTAACACTACCGTAGCTAACACTATAAGTGAGTGGGGATGATAATTATATATATATATATATATAACCTAAGCTTATTATAATTATAAAACGTTATACTACGTCTGTGGTCCTGACTATGAGCATCATTTCAATTTCTTCATTTGTTACTCCATTGGTGCTACTATTTTTTAATGAATTTTCAAAATAGAATGGTAATCCATTTCCTTTATTGGTATATTTACCTTTAACCTTTATAGATATACTTTAGCGTGAGTACCAGTGAAGGTCAAGTCCGAATAGTCAGTTGGTCGTGTCAAATTCATCAGGTGTGAACGTTGATATGTGGTTTTTAGGGGGACCGTGTGGAAATCGATCTGACAGGGTGTATTGACAGCAAGGGGACCGCCAGACCCTGTTACTGCCAATTGGCATTTCCTGTAATTACCAATTACCGATGTAATATATCTACGAAGTCAGTAATTAAACCTTTTATATCATCAACGATTATCGCCTTAATGGTTCGTTGAGCATTAGCGTTGTCCTTAGTTATGCCTACTCGTTATTCGAGTATTTTAATAGGAAGGTACTAATTAAAAAAAGTTTTGTTGACTCGAACTAGTATGTACTCGAGTACTTTATCAAACATGAGTGCGTTTTTAATTTTTTCCTGTAGCTTACTTTTAATGAAAGTAATGAATATTTAATATAGCATATTATAGTATAAGCAAGTTGTTCTTGCATTACTGTGTTCGACTTGAATGGTAGGAATATGGTAGTGAAATTACAGGAGGTTAAGGAGGCTAAACACCATATCCTCATGTATGGCAACGCATACCCCATGGGTAAAGATAAAAACTTTTAAATAAGCATGCGATTATTATTATTATTAGGTATCTACCTTCTCCAAATCGTGTACTCGTATTTTAAAATCATGTAACGGAATTTTATATATTGAGCGGTCAACTACCTGACTATCCATAGGCATTCAGATCAGCCTGACCTCATTATTTAGTATTTCAGTAGAATAATTTGCATATATCCTCGAAAGTTATATTTTTTAATTAATGTTCAATTTCCTTTGCGAGCCAATATAATTGAGGAACAAATCAATTGAAATATATGTTTTATCAAATTTACATAAGGCTGATTGTTGGGTGATTATTAAATCTCCGATGATTAGATAAGTGTGCACGTACATAGACCATGGACATAGTGTTATATGCTCATTACTTATGAAATTAACTTTAGTTTTTTTTTTTATATTTTAAGGGCTTTTACCTTCTTCAGGTATATCAGTCCTATTGTACCCTGAACTGATTTCTCCAACAAAACTTTATCTACCTTCCCTAGACGCGGAAAGAGAAGAATTAATGGGCATCAATAATTTACACAGATGTTAAAAAAATTCTGGTTTCCGACATGACATAGTGTCACAATAAATTTTATTATTAATTATTTTATGTAAGTAGGTAGTCACAACTACCCACCCATTACTAGCACTCAGTGAAGGGAGAAATTAGAGTCACCATACTATAGTCATTTGTTTCAAAAAATACCCACTCAGTGCCAATCTTTCAGTCGGTCAGTGCCTGAGGGAACCGAGATCACCATAGGATTGCCTTTTTTTCTTATCTGTCGTCAGAGGTAGTGCCAGGCGTGCGTGAATATTTGAGTCAGAGGCACCCCCATAAAAGGCAGTGTCCTCTTTTTTATTTCGTTTTCAGGGGCGTTGTCGGGCACTGTCAATATTTTGTGTAGGGGTAACTTTTTTCGTCGTCGGAGGGATATACTAAGACCGGCTCTGTATAATAGACTACAGCATGGGGTTTTTCAATAAAGGGGTAAAGAGATTTCGTCAGGGTCGACAAGGCGCGCATAATGTTCCTGGTATTGCAGGCGCTCTTATTACGGTAACAGTTTACCATCAGGAGGGCGGTATGCTTGTTTGTCACTGCAGTGGCATAAAAAAAAAACTGCATACAAATGCGCATTGCAGGGAATCGCGGGCTGATTTTCGTAATCAGAGTGAAAAAGTACTATGACTGACTATTTAAACTGATGATTTTTATTCTCATCGGATTGCATCAAACGGAATTAAAATAATATGTTAAGATTAGGCGTGACAGATATGTATGTATGTATGTATGTATTCTGAGATTTTAATATGAAATAAACTAAAAAAATAATCCAAGTATAGTCCATCTAGATCTAGAAAGCCCACATAATGGAAAGTAGTAACCGCCACTTATAAACATGACTAGCACTATAGATATTACAGAAAACACTGTGAGTCCCACAGTACCTCTCATGCGTTGACATTCCTGAAGACTGTAGTGTTACTCCAATGTACCTACTATATTTGTACTACTGGGATGATTCACAATGCAAAATGAAACAGCTGCTTTATGACAAAAAACTAAACGGAACAGAGGTACATACAAATGTCTTGTGTACCAAGTCTGCTTGGTTTTTTAAGGTCAAGTTTGTTAAATTACAATCACGGACAGACGAAGATTGCAAAATAAATAAAGTTTCATCTGGGGTTAAAAATGCTTAGCCATTAAAATGATTTCTTTTTGTTCTCTCTACCGACCCCATGGGACCTGACCTGAGATGTGATTTATAACTTTATAGTATTTCTTTTGTTTTTTTTTTCTGCCTATCCCACGGGGCTGCCACGCGTGATATTGTACTAAACGCCCTCAAAAAATAATTATCTACTCAATTTATATTTTATTTGTTAATTGCAGGTCCACCATAAGCGTGCGTGGAAAGCGTGCACTACATACGGGCGGCACGTCCAGGGGGGCAGCCAATCGAGCAACTCATTACGTTATTCAAGTCATTGTCATAATATCAATCCCACCATAAGTATAAGAAATGTCATCGTATGGAAAAAAATCAATAAATTTTTAGCAATAACTTATTTAATTATTCCAATGCTAAGTTAATAAAACATTGTAAATATTTAAATCTGAAACTTAAAGATGATTCAAGAAGAATCAGATATAGATGGTACTGATTTATTTTATCATTTATTACAGATACCCCTAATTTTTATTACAGGACAGAGGTACCCCTAATTTTTATACAAAGTCTTTCTCTAGTAACTATTACAATTATTTGCTAACTATAAATTTTAAATAAAACATCTCGTCATCCATTGGTTTATTTTATTATATTTCTTTTAAAATTTTATATAGTAGAGTAGGTATAGAGTAGGTAGGTAGATATAGGTAGGTAATATAGGTTACTTGTGCGGATTCTATGATTATGCTACAGTAAGATTTATTATATCTTAACGTCTTTTATAAGACATGTCATACAGAGGTATGAATTTTTTTTAAAACGTGTTTTGAAGAAGATATTTAATATATGTATAAACGTGGCCGGATGTAAAGAACTAAAGAAATAGTGGGTGGACTATGTGAAAGAGAAATAAGCCCAGATACGACGGCTGCTAGGGAGTAAGTACTTAAATTATAAATAAATTATAGGCAGCGACTTTGCACGTGTATTTTATAATAATATCAGTATGCTCTTCAAATTCATTCAGACGTTTAAGCATATTTGTGGCTTAGCAGGTATAAAATAGAATAAAAATTATATAGATATTATAGAGATAAACTCAGGAGTGCGATAGGTTCTGTTTTTTTTTTACAGTTTTTTTTTTTCTACTAGAAATTGCCCTTATGGATTAATTTGCTTGTGCTTGCCACAATTATACTAGCATGAATATATATTTAATATCAAATCTACAAGTAATAGTATAGTATGTAACTATTAATATGTTCGTCATCCAAATGTGGCTGGAGGTTTATAACATCCATAAATACTAATATCATTCCGCAGGATAACTTTATAATATCTAATGATGAATTGTCATCAAAGACTCATCTCTTATTCTTGCTCTTGCTGCTGTTACTCCTGCACGAACTCTTATACCTAATTCCAAGTCTACAAGCTTAAGAAGTTTCAGGGCTTTTTCTCGAACTTCCGGAACCACCGGGACAAGTGACAAAACAAGGTTGTCAATAAATCTTTGTTTTTGACCTTCATCAACCAAAATATATTTGTAGAAATTAGAAGAAGACTCCAAGTCAACTGCATTACTGTCAAATACAATGATTCTTTCATTGGGACGGGATTCGTCAATGAAAGGCACAGGGCCATTGAATGAATTTGGATAATAATTCGGTACGTCTTTCATATTTTCGTTCACTGATGGTACTCCATCACGGTTATACGTTTTACGGTATTTCGGTGCATTCACATTGATTCTCTTATGGTTTACGCCTAACCGATAATTTTGTGTATCCCTATAAGCTAACCTTCTACTCTTGAAAATTGTATCTGGAGGACTATTAATGCCAGGGACTAAATTTCCAGGATTATAAGCACTTAATTCTACAGCTTCAAAAAAGTTATCAGGATTCCTGTCAAGTACTAATCGTCCAATTTGTATTGTGTGGTAAGTGCCATTTTTCCATAATCTTGTCACGTCGAAGGGATTGTAATCAACATTGGTAATATCATGTGATGTCATAACGTCCATTTCTATTCGCCATGATGGATAATTTTTTAAAGCAATATTATTGTACAGATCTCTTGTACCGTAATCCAGATCTTGACCAGAAATTGCCACTGCTTCGGCTGTAGTTAGATTTTCCAAGCCTTGTTCAGTTCTAAAATTGAATTTAGCATAATATCTATCTCCATTCTTATTACTTAATTCATACGTGTGTATTGGAAATCCATCCATCTTCCTGTATCCATTTGGAGATCCATAGTCTGAATAAAGCCAAAATATTCCATGCAAAAGAATGGGTTTTAATGTTAAAATATCCCATTGTGCTGTTAAATCAAATAAATTTGTACGTGGGTTTCTTTTGAAAGCATGAACAAATGGAGTAAACATTGAAGGATCTGTGTATAAATAAACCGGAACATTTAACCCTAAAAGATCCAGATTTCCTTCATTTGTATAAAATTTTATGGTGAAACCTTTTATCTCCTTAGCAAGATCGTTACCTCCTTTACTTCCTAGCCCAGTCGACAACCTAACGGCTACAGGTGTTCTTTTACCAATACCATTAAAGACGTCAGCTTTTGTATATTTGGATACATCATGAGTTACTTCGAAATAACCAAATGCGCCTGTTCCTTTAGCATGTACTACTCTTTCCGGTATTCTCTCTGCAACGGAGTGCATTACATCGTCCAAAAAAAACTCATTTGAAGTGAGACCATCGTTATTCAAAGTAGTTGTTTCTCTTATATCCACTGGTTTGCCCGCCATTGTGCTTAAAATTCCAACAGGTTTCTGAAATAAGAACGCCAAAACTATTGAAAATTTTGTAAAATCACTCATTTTTTAATATTATATGTATAAAAAAATGTGAAATAATTCAGTTCTATATAACAATATTCATAGCTCCCTAACATGAGTTGTGAGTAGGTTCCACTTTTGCTAGATATGAGCTTAGATTACTTATCTAATTATTTAATGTTGTATGATTTCATTTTTCTATACTTGTTCTTTGAGAAATATAATTCAATTATCAGACTATTATTATTCTAATTTCAAATTATTAATTATTAGTTACACCACAATTATTAATATAAAATAATGCATACTTTCATCATCTTAAGTCAATATTGCCAATATTAGTGATATATAGTAACATTTCAGAGGTATGGATTGACTATATTAGAGACAGCTAATGTAAATCAATCATACTGAATGCAAGTAAATATTGATTTTAAATAGGCAGATCAATGGTATTTACCGGATGCTCCAGTTTGAAATCTAGCAGTTGGCGCGCAGCAGGCTCCAATGTATTATTCACGTAATCATGGTAAGCACAAACGGCCCCCGTAAGCCACAAAATTACTGCGTAAAATACAATCATTCTCTTGCCGAAAAATGTGTCTGACCAAGTTTAAATAATCTTTACACTGGGTTTGGCTACAAAATAATTTTGCGTTAATTGATTGGTGTCTAAATCGATTTCCGATGCACACCTATTATACAATTAACTACATTGTATTGGTTGCAACAATGTGAAAAAGAAATAGTTCTTAATTCGAATATAGTTCTTCTATTGTTTTGCAGTTGTCTAAAATTTGTATCGAATATACGTTGATACGGAAATAACTTTATTGTATTATTTCGTAAAATCACAGGTTCAGTTTTTGCGTTTCTGCGCGTAAAATAAATAAAATATAGTAAAAAAAAATAAATAATATATTAAATACCTAAAAAAGTAAAAGTAAAAAGAAAAATTCAATCTGAAAATGGCCGTCGCAACAGCAGAAGAAATTCACCGAGTCACTATTTTAGATGATGTAACATTATTTCAGTTATGGAAATTCGAATTAAGGATTCTGCTGGAAGCGAAAGAATTGATATATATCGTAAATATAAAACTAGAAAGCGAACAATCGAATAAAGATGCTTTGACTAAGCACATCATCCTTCAAACAGTATCGAAAAAATATAAAACACAACTATTTGATTGTACGACTGCTTTGAAATGTTTAAGCGATTTATTCGAAGGATCGGAAGAACGAAAAAAGATGAGTTTGTTACAAGATTTCTATAATTATAAATTTGAAAATGATATGACAATGGATGAAAATTTCTCAAGGCTTGAAAATTTGGTACATAGATTAAAACAACTAAAAATGCCCTTTGATGACGCGTTAGTAGAATCCAAAATATTAAACATTTTTTCGAATATTGACTCATACCAACCGTTTGTAACTGCGTGGGAAAGTACTCCTAAAGAAGAAAGAACGTTAAAGAATTTAAGATTGAGATTAGTAAAAGAAGAAGAAAGGAAGAAGGAGAGTGTGCAATCCCAAGTGGCCCTAGCTGCAGGAAATAAAGGTAGAATGCCGAAAAAAGAAGGTAATAATAGTCAGACAATAACCTCACATTCTTCTAATAGGTGTTTTAAATGTAATAAGTTCGGTCATATAGCAAAATTTTGTAGAAATTCTTTATACTGTAAAATTTGTAAGAAAACTAACCACAAAGAGAAAGATTGTTTTTTTAGAAAAAATAAGTACGATAATAATGTTGCTTTTTTATCCTCTAGCCGTAATACAATTAAAATGTCAGAAAGTTTTGTTCTCGACTCTGGTTGTACTGTACATATGGTCAATGACAAAACTTTACTTTCTAATATCAAACCTAAGACTATTGATGTTGGTATAGCTAAGAAAGATGTTAGTATGAAGTCACAATATGTAGGTGATTTTATTAGAACTAAATGTGATGTAACAAATGTATTATGTGTGCCGGATCTTTCGCGTAATTTATTATCTGTTCCAGAGATTGTTAAGAATGGTGGTTCCGTTCTATTTAATAAACATGGTGTAGAGATTCGCAGCAATGGTAAAGTAATAACTGGTAAGAAAGAAACTCAGGTTTATTTGTAGTTAAATTAGAAAAAGAAGTAAAAATAGAAGAACAAGTATATTTATTAAAGGAAAATGATAATTCTGCAGAAAATTGGCATAGAAAATTAGGACATCCAGGTGAGAATATTTTAAAAATTTTACCTAATGTAGCGGATGGTGTAAAAATAGAAAATGAGGAAGGTATGAAGGCAAGTTGTGAAGTATGTATAAAAGCTAAACAAACTAGACTGCCTTTCAATACCGTAAGAACTAGAGCCAACAGAAAACTAGAAACAACATACAGATGTTTGTGGTCCTTTTGAGATGGAAACGTGGAATGGTAATAGATATTTCTTAACTGTTTTGGATGACTATAGCCATTACACTAAGGTTTTTCTACTAAAATTTAAAAGCGAGGTTCCTACTTGTTTAAAGAATTTTATTGCAGAAGCGGAACGTGAAACCAACTTGAAAGTTGTTACAGTTCGTTGTGACAATGGTGGTGAGTACACTTAAAATAATTTTAGAATGTATTGTAAGGAAAAAGGAATAAAACTAGATTACTCAATACCATATTGTCCTCAATTAAATGGTAAAGCCGAACGTTTAAATAGAACCTTAAATGAAAAAATCCGTTCATTGCTGTTTATGGCTGAAATGGAAAAAGAAATGTGGGGTGAAGCTCTTTATTGTAGCGTATACTTACTCAATAGACTACCAAGTGAGTCTATAAATAATAAAACTCCTTTCGAACTATGGAATGGAAAGCTACCAAATCTTTCGAATATTCGTGAATTTGGGTGTGATGCCTTCGCTAAAAAATTGCCATCAACTAAAAAATTGGAAACCAGAGCAATAAAATATAGGATGATCGGATATACAAATAACGGATACAGACTTTGGGACGAGGTTAATAGAAAAGTTATAGTTGCGAGAGATATCACATTCGTAAAAAGAAATAGTAAAAATATAAACACCGAAATAATTACAAAACCAGAAACTATTAATGTAAAAGTCTATTCAAATAACCAAGATAATCAAATTAAAGAAGTAATACCACAAGAAGAAAAACAGGCAGAGAAAAGAATTTTAGAAGAAACGGGACAAAAAGAGGCTGAAGAAACAATAATAACATCAAAAAGAACTAAAAAATTACCAGAAAAATACAAGGATTATGTTTTGCTTACTTACGAAGAAGCGTTGAAAAGTTCTGAAAAAGAAAAATGGGAAAAGGCTATAGAAAGTGAACTGAATTCTTTACAAGAAAATATTGTTTGGAAAATAGTAGATAAAACTGAGACGAAAGGACATAAAATACTTTCTAATAAATGGGTGTTCAGAATTAAAGAAAACGGAAAACATAAAGCCAGACTAGTAGTTAGAGGAAATGAACAACAAGAGGTAGATTATGATGATATATTTAGTCCAGTTGCATCTCAAAATGCTATTAAAACTTTGTTTGCTATAGCCGCAGCCAAGAACTACAAATTAATGACGTTCGATGTAAAAACAGCGTTTCTTAATGGAAATTTAAGGGAAGACGAGCAAGTTTTCATGAAAATTCTAAGGGAGTACAATATGATTCAAAAAATAAAGTTTGTAAGTTATTGAAGTCATTATACGGACTTAGACAGTCTCCTAAAAGATGGTATGAAAAGTTCAATGAAAAAATAAAAGAATTAGGATTTGACCAATTAAAAAATGAGCCATGTATATATAAAAACCAAGATGCGTCAATTTTATTAGCTATTTATGTTGATGATGGAGTAGTAATTGGTAAAACAGAAGAATTAACGCAATTACTACGTAAATTGAATGAGAAATTTGAGATTACGTCTTATAATGAACCCTCTTTGTATCTAGGTATGGAGTTAAAAGTAAATGAAGTAGGTTGGTATTTGACTCAAACTGAATATACAAAAACACTTTTAAAAAAGTTTAATATGGATAAATGTAAACCAGTTCCCACACCCGTAGGAGAGGGTGAAATAGAGTCAGATGGAGAAATAGAGTACTATGGAGAAGAAAAATCAAATTATCCTTATAGAGAAGCCGTAGGAAGTCTCTTGTATATATCGGCCAGATATAGCATTTTTTTATAGTAGGTGTATGGAGAATCCTGAAAAGAAAGATATAATTGCCATAAAAAGAATTTTTAGATATCTTTCTGGTACTTTAGAAGAAGGTTTGTGCTACAAATTCGGTTCAGATCTAAAACTTACCGCTTTCTGTGATTCAGATGCGAGCGATCTTAAAACAAGGCGTAGTACAAGGCTATGTTTTAATTTTATTATTTCATGGTGCTCCAGAAGACAGCCAATTGTATCGTTGTCTTTACAGAGATTTATATCTGCAGCTGAATGTTGTAAGGACATGTTTATAAAATCTCTTCTTAAAGATCTGAATATTGATATAAAACTTTCATTTCATATTGACAATCAAAGCGCTATTGCATTAATTAAAAATGGTGTGTTTAATAAGAGGTCCAAGCACATAGACGTTCGTTATCATTATATACACGAGTTGTATCAAAATAATGAATTTAGCATTACCTATTGTCCAACAGAAATACAAATTGCAGATATATTTACAAAAGCATTAAAAAAAATAAAATTTAACAAACATAAAAGTTTATTGATCTCAAGTATTTTAAGTTTGTTATTTAATATTGTTTTTTGTCATTATAGTAATGTAACTTCTTATATATAATAATACTTGTATTAAGTTGTGCTAATTGTAAAAAGTTAAACTGTCATGTGAAAAGTGTGAGATTTATTGTAATAGTAAAATGTATGTTTATCTGTTATAATTTTCACGTAAACGTAAAAATTAGGAGAGGGTGAAAAAGAAATAGTTCTTAATTCGAATATAGTTCTTCTATTGTTTTGCAGTTGTCTAAAATTTGTATCGAATATACGTTGATACGGAAATAATTCTTTATTGTATTATTTCGTAAAATCACACAATGTAATCCATCAGTTGTCTCCTAATAATAAATTCAGTCAAAATCATACTGCACGGAGATTATGTTCAGAGAATCAACACTTCTGTGGGAAAAAGGTCTCTGAACATAATGTCAGACTTTCAGTATATTCATATGATAACAGACTTTCAATATATTCACTTTGTACAAAAGTCGTTTGCTTGGGTACCACTGTCCCATTCGTGTTTCTACCGTGAAGCAATTATTTGCATGGCTGTGTTTTAGTTTGAAGAGTGGGATATGGCAGTAAATTTACAGAGGTACAGAGGAATAACACCTGAGTCCTCAGGAATGGCAACACATGGGGAGTATCATGGGCGAAACAGCATACTCTGTTATATCCTTGGTACTGCTCATGTCTATAGGCGACGGTTACCACTTTCCATCAGGTGAGCCGTCAGCTTGTTTGCTATTCTAAGTTGCATGAAAAAAACCAAGTATATAAAACTAAAGATTGTGTCTTACAAAAAAAAATTGACTTTAATTGTCACAAAACCATTTTATTTTAAAAATTAACTACTGAACCGATTTGGATTAAATTTCTATGATTCTGTAAGTATATTCTTCCACATAAAAAAGGATTTTCTAAATCGGTTTAAAATTGACGAAGTTATGAGGTAACAAACGAAGAATACAATCGAATTGGGAACCTCTTCTTTTTGAAGTCAGTTAAAAAAAGAAATAAGTTTTTTTATACAACTTAGAATGGCAAACAGGCTGATGGCCCACCTGATGGAAAATGATGACCGTCGCCTATAAACATGAGCAGTACCATGGACATAACAGAGTATATTGTTTCGCCTATGATACCCCCCATGCGTTGCCATTCCTGAAGACTCAGGTGTTATTCCTTTGTACCCAGTAAATTCACGCCAAAATAACAAATATTTAAAATAGTAGGTACTTATCTATTTGCAATAGAATAATGCTTTAACAGTTCCTCCCTGGTGGAGATCATTGCGTTCGATCTTTTTTTAAATGTAAAAACCGTATGAATGTTAAGAGGCTACGGCTTTGCCTGCGTACATGAAGTGTCCTATGTACTAGCTATGATCTAACCTACTGTAATTTTTGCGTAAAATGAAACAAATATCTATCCATCCGTGCAGACTTTCGCATTTATAATATTAATACAATTATACTAATTGTATAATATAAAAATGTATAGTATTGAAAAATAATATGAATTCAAACAATTGTTTAATATTACCCACTAGTTTAATATTATTAAATCCAGACTCGGTAGTATATATTATTTTTTATTACAAATGCTTAAGAACTGAATAACATTTGATTCTTAATAGTCCTAAATCATAACAGGTTTGTTTTATTATCAAATTAAAATTGCAATTTCAGAGAGAAACATGTTGAGGACATGCAAAATTGTCTGCCTGTCAAGTGTCAGTGCCTTACTCCGAAACGTAATTGTTTAGAAATATTCACCAGGTATACGGTATAAATATATACCATAAATCGTACCATAACAATCGCGTAATTTTATTACACCGAAGTGAGAACTTCCAGGAAAGTTATTTGTAGGAAACACTCTTCCTATTATTGTAGTATTATTCAAAAATAGTTACATACCTATTTTGCTCGATTTCCGACGTTCGTTGTTTATAAATAGATGTTTTTGGAAATAATCGTATTTGATGAAATAAAAGGGAAATTTTGCATCTGATATATAATCTTTGGTATAATATTAAAAATATTCTTTAGTTAACTATTTTCTGTATCTTTTTTTTTTTCTACAAGCTGCCAGTGACTTCGTCCAATTGGTTGGACATATTCATTGACTGGAATAAACAGCGACATATTTTATTTATCGCCATAGTAAATTTTATGACGATTAGTTGCATAACGTCATGTGATAACAAGCAAACAAACTTTTATCCTACTAATATTATAAACTAGCTGTATCCCGCAGTATATAAAGTATCCTGTATGCTAAGTTATGATATAATTTTTCCTTGTACTAAATTTCATTCAAATCTGTCCAGTTGTTTTTGTGTGGCAACAAACATATAAGATACAACATACAAGGGTAACAAACATACATCCATCCATCCTTACAAACTTTTGCATTTATAATATTAATAGGATGTGAAAATTTGTAAAGATATTTGTATGTATGCATCTCAATCACCGTTAAATGACTAAAGAGATGTGATTATATCTGATGAAGTTATATTTTATATATTGATTCAAGCAGACAAATATCAGATCTATGTATATTGTATTAAGGATAATATTATATAAAGGAATAATACGGCCAAGTTAGATAGTCTAGTTTCGACACAAATGTGTGTAAGTAACTTTGGTATTGTAAGTCGCCACCACTATAATGTTCTTGAGATCGTGCGCTAATGCAATTGTCGTGTCCACTTTTTAACCAATTAAATACCCGGACATATGTAACATAGGCTCAATGTGGAAAAATGTCTAAGGCGAGAGCAGTAACACGAAAATACAGTAAAGACTTTTTTAATAATTTTAAAGGCTTTTTTTATATAATTTTTTTATTTCATAATTATATAATTATTTATTATTGACTAAAAATATATATTGTTATTACAATATATTACAATGATTACTATTTAATGAAAATTATTACATAAAAATAAAAAGAAAAATTAGTGAATCCAGTTGGGAAACATAATTTAAGGTTTTCGTTACATTTAATTATATATATATATAATGATAAATATAACAAATTAGTAACAAAATTAGCCGACACGAAGTTATCTCTAAAATGAGATTCCTTCCAGTCCACTGAACACCGTAGCATAGAAAGTATTAAGTGGACAGTAGTAGTGCAAAACAGAAAACTAAACAACAAAATCAAATATTTAAATATATACAATTGTTATATAAAAACAAATTTAAAAACTAAGAAAACAAAAACATAAAGCTACGTACTTTATATTTTTTTTACGTTGCAGATACGTGAGATAAGTCTTAATACTCAGGCCATAGAATAAATAATGGATCCATAACCTTCATATTTCTAAATCCATAAATTTCAGCAAAAGACTGTTGAAATCATAATGAATAAATACATTATGATTTCCATGAAAAATATCAACGTGTTGAAATAGGTATATTAAGGCAACATCTAAAAAAAGTGAAGAATTAAAAAGCTGAGCGTTTTCTTTGGACGAGTTTGGATAGAAAAAATCCCAATAGAGAATTATTAATGAGAATCATGAATAAATAAGTTAAGATTTTGTTCAAAATAAAATAGCAACTTTTAAATTCTTTTTTTTTATTTATTAATAAAATTCTCATATCTATATCATATATACCAGAGGGAGACTTTGTACAAAAGTCGATTGCTTGGGTACCTCTGTCCCATTCGTGTTTTAACCGTGAAGCAATTGTGTTTGCATAGCTGTGTTTCGGTTTGAAGGGTGGGATATGGTGTGAATTTACTGGATACAGAGGAATAACACCTGAGTCCTCAGGAATGGCAACACATGGGCGAAACAGTATACTCTGTTATGTCCATGCTACTGCTCATGTCTATAGGCGACGGTTACCACTTTCCATCAGGTGGGCCGTCAGCTTGTTTGCCATTCTATGTTGTATAAAAAAAAAATAACAAAAACTCTACAAATATTCGTTTTATATAATCACAAATATATTCACAAATTTGTGTCGACTATTTCCATTAATATAAGTACTCGTTCCTACAAATAAATTGAGTTATTTATTAAGAAAACCAACAGTTTGAAAAGTCAGCTTATACTGCATATTATTAACATATAAAAATTCCCCGTCACGATGTTCATTCACGCTAAATCGATTGTAATAAAATTTTGTAAATATGTATTGTGTGCTCCTATTTAAGAGCTATCCTATTTAAATAACGTTTGCTGAATCAGCCAGAACCTTATAATTTATTCACACAAACGCGGGAGATAAGCATCAGTATAAATGATTGTACCCAGGTACGAATAATCCCGGAATTTGAAAAGTGGATAAAAGCCAATGTAAGTAATTAGAACTAATATTTTTTTATTATAAATTAAATACCTATATTTTTATTTCTCGAAACCGTTGACATTAAGAATTTGTTGATTAAAAATTAAAAATGTATAAACTATAAAAAATATTAAACAGTACAGTATGACGTAAAAAATACTTATACGAATTAATCTAATCAACTGTAGCCTCTACTAATATTCTCTCGTTTATTGAGAAATCGCTCCATTATATTTAATTAATTATCATCATCATAAAATTAGCCTTTAACAGATTTTACAGTTTAACATGGGCCTTTCCCATAATAGGGGCTTTGCCAGTAGATGCCACGCTTGGTAGGCGGGTTGGCAACAGCAGTTAGGCATTGGTGAAGTTCAAAGAGGGACGCTGCTGTCCATCCCTCGAGCATTAAATTCCTTTAGGCGCCTCTTACGACACCCACGGAAAAGGAAGCGGTGGCACATTTTATGCCGAGGCTAAATGGCTTTACAGTCACTAATGATAAATTGTCATCCAAGGATCATCTTTTATTTTTCTTCTTGCTGCTGTTACTCCAGCGCGCACTCTTGTACCTAATTCCAAGTCTACAAGCGTAAGTAGTTTCAGACCTTTTTCTCGTACTTCCGGAACCACCGAGATAAGTGAGGAAACAAGATTATCAATAAATCTTTGTTTTTGACCCTCATCACTCAAAATGTATCTGTAGAAATTAGAAGGAGACTCTAAGTCAACTGCATTACTGTCGAATACAATGATTCGTTCTTTAGGACGAGACTCGTCAATGAAAGGCACAGGACCACTGAATGAATTTGGATAATAATTCGGTACGTCTTTCATATTATCGTTCACTGGTGGTACTCCATCACGGTTATATGTTTTAAGGTATTTCGGTGCATTCACATTGATTCTCTTATGGTTTATGCCTAACCGATAATTTTGTGTATCCCTATAAGCTAACCTTCTACTCTTGAAAATTGTATCTGGAGGACTATTAATGCCAGGGACTAAACTTCCAGGGTTATATGCACTTAATTCTACAGCTTCAAAAAAGTTATCAGGATTTCTGTCAAGTACTAATCGTCCAATTTGTACTGTGTGATAAGTGCCATTTTTCCATAATCTCGTCACGTCGAAGGGATTAAAATCAACATTGGTAATATCATGTGATGTCATAACGTCCATTTCTATTCGCCACGATGGATAATTTTTTAAAGCAATATTATTGTACAGATCTCTTGTAGCGTAGTCCAGATCTTGACCAGATATTGTCACTACTTCATCTGTTGTTAGATTTTCGAAACCTTGTTCAGTTCTAAAATTGAATTTAGCAAAATATCTATCTCCATGTTTATTACTCAATTCATACGCGTGTATTGGAAATCCGTCCATCTTTCTGTATCCATTTGGAGATCCATAGTCTGAGAAAAGCCAAAATAATGCATGCAAAAGAATGGGCCTTAATATCATGATATTCCATCGCGCCGTGTTATCAAATAAGTTTGTGCGCGGATTTCTTCTGAAAGCATGAAAAAATGAACTGAACATTGTAGGATCTGTGTATAAATAAACTGGAACATTTAACCCCAAAAAGTCCAGATTGCCTTCATTTGTATAAAATTTTATGGCGAATCCTTTTATCTCTTTGGCAAGATCGTTTCCTCCTTTATTTCCTTGCCCGGTCGACAATCGAACAGCGACAGGAGTTCTTTTACCAATACCATTAAAGACGTCAGCTTTTGTATATTCGGATACATCATGAGTTACTTCGAAATAACCAAATGCACCCGTTCCTTTAGCATGCACTGCTCTTTCCGGTATTCTCTCTGCGACGGAGTGCATTACATCGTCCAAAAAAAATTCATTTGAAGTAAGACCATCAGTATTCAAAGTAGTCGTTTCTCTTATATCCACTGGTTTTCCAGCCATTGTGGTCATAATTCCGATAGGTTTCTGAAATGAGAACACCAAAAACTATTTAAATTTTTATAAATTCATTAATTCAGTAATTAATTATTCTGATACATATCATAAGTATTAGAAACTCAGTTTAGGATTACAACTTCTTACACACAATTACCTACAATTCTATAGTTGTACGGTTTAGCTTTTGTTAGAGTCGAATACAAACAATTTTTGTAATTATTTAATATCGTACAATTTCTAAGATTTCATTTTCCGATACTTGTCTTTTGAGAAAAATGGTTCAATTACACTAACACAGTTCTTATTTTAATTTCAGATTACTGTTATTAGTAACACCATAATTATGAATATAAACTGATGTAATCCTAAGTCAATAAATGAATAAATTGAATGCAAATAAATATTGATTTTAAGTAGGTCTATCAATGGTATTCACCGGATAGTCTAGTTTGAAATCTAGCAGTTGGCGCGCAGCAGGCTCCAATGTATTCACGTAATCATGGTAAGCACAAACGGCTCCCGTAAGCAACAAAATTACCGTGTAACACACAGTCATTTTCTTACCGGCTAATAAATCTTTTCTGTTATGAAATTTGTCTGACTAAGTTTAAGTAATCTTTGGGCTGGGTTTGGTTACAAAATAATTAATGCAAAATTATTTTGTGATTTGCTAATTGATTTGTGTCTAAATCAATTTCCGATGTATACCTATTATACAATTAACTACATTGTATTGGTTGCAACAATGTGTAATACATCAATTGTCTCCTAATAATAAATTCACTTAAAGTCATACTGCATAGACTTTATAATCACAGAGTATATATATCTATAATAAAATATTGTATACACACACAAAAAAAGACTTTTATTGTGCCAGAACTACTGAACCGATTTTGATAAAATTTCTATGGGACTAATAAACTTACAGTATATCCTTTCAGATAAAAAAAAAATTTCAATTCGATTTTGAACTGACGGAATTATGAGAGAATAAACATAGAAAAAAGTATACAACCGAATTGAAAACCGTCTTCTTTTTTAAGTCGGTTGAAAAAAGAGATAAATATTGGAAATTGTAGGTACTTACCTATTTGCAACAGCATGACGTTTTACGATTCTTTCCTAGCCTTGCCATCGCCGATCCGTCTATTTTCAAATGTTAAAAATCGTATGAATTATTTACTTCTAAATGGCTTATATATTATTTTAAAGTGTTACAAACAACAATGACAAATATTTATCCATTTACCTGTCTATTGTTACAACCTTTCGTATTCATAAAATTAATAGGATGTAAAAAATTTGTATGTATGTTACTTAATCACGCTTAAATGGCTGAAAGTGATTGAGATTCGCTATATGGGTAGGTTATATCCAAGTTCAACATATATAATATTTTATATACTGAATCAAGCAGACAAATAACAGATCTATGTGTATTATATTAAAGATAATATTATATAAAGGACAAACAGAGCCAAGTTAGATAGTCTAGTTTCTAAACTAATGTGTGTAAGTAATTTTGGTATTTTAAGTCGCCACCACTATAATGTTCTTGAGATCGTACGTTAATGCAATTGTCGTGTCCACTTTCTAACCTATTAAATACCCGGACACATGTAACATAAGCTCAATGTGGAAAAATGTTCGAGGCGTCCGTTGAAACAGGAAACTACAGTAAAGACCTTTTTTTGTTAATTTTAATGATAATGGTAAATAAAGGTATCAACATTATTTTTTTATTTTAAAAGTATATATTGTTATTAAAGTATATTACAATGATTACTGTTTTTTTTTTATTATTATGTAATAATAAAAAATGGATCCAGTTTGGAAACATATAATTTAAATATATATTGTGTGTAACTTGAGAGCTAGGGTAGTTTTTAACTTTATAAGAAAAATAGATCTGGTAGGTGTCGGTAGAAGGCAAAATAACGTTTACTAGATCAGCCAGTAGCTTATATTATGTTCTTCCAAACGTCTGAAATAGACGTCAGTATAAATAACTTTACCTAGGTAGAACTACGAATAATCTCCGAATTTGAAACATGAAAAAGCCGATGTAAATCATTACAATTAATAATTTATTATAATATAACATATGCTTTTATTTATCTAAATAATGAACACTAAAAACCGGACGACTAAAAACTAAAAATATATCTATTACTAGCGGCCCCTCCCGGCGTCGCACGGGTGGACATTTTTATATTTTAAAATATGGCCATTAAGGCTGCACACGCGACGGAAGCTTAAAAATGGAGTAACTTCTCCCGTTTTCCCTTCACTGCTCTGCACCTATTTTTTTATACAACACGAGTAGTTTTTGTTTCTATAACGAACATACAGACAGACAGACAAAAAATTTACTGATTGCATTTTTGACATCAGTATCGATCACTAATCACCCCCTGATCGTTATTTTGGAAATATATTTCATGTACAGAATTGACCTCTCTACAGATTTATTATAAGTATAAATAGAAGATAAACAATAAGTATTATGCGCTACATAGTGACCTAAACGTTACTTATAAGAAATAATTTTATTTACCGTAGTCTCTGCTAATACTCTTTCGTTTACAGAGAAAAATCACTCCATTCTGTTTAATTAATAAATGGCATAAATTAAAAGTTTTTATGGCACATTTCAAGCTAATTAGCCATCTGGACTCTGGAGGATAATTTAACGTGGAGCACAAGACCAAACGACCGTAAGCCTGGCTCTCGACTTCTCTGAGTTAATGACATAGTGAGTGGCAATTTAAATATATTTACTGACTCTATCTAGAGCCACTTTATTATTTATCCAGTACTAGCTGTTTCCCGCGGCTTTGTTCATTTGATTTAGTATATAAACTATCCAATGTATTAAGTTAGAATATAATCTACCTATGTACCAAATTTCATTCAAATCCATCCAACCGTTTAAAAGTATTTGATAATGAAAAATACAAACATTTCTATAATTTTTCATATTTATAAATTATTAGCGAGGGTAAATCCCTCGATAGTGTCAGCGTGCCTGTGATATGTTTTTTAATGAATGATAATGGAATGGTTACCCCATCCGCGCTATCGATATACAGCGGCGGGGCACCAATGGAGGATGATAGATGAGGATGAAGTAGGTCAGTTGACCCATCGTGACGACTTCAATAAGAATTGTTCACGATGGTTTTCAGAGGAAACCACGTGGAGGCCGACCTAATAAGGCATATTGCTAGCAATGGGGCTGTCAAACTCCACTGCTAACAATGCCTTTCCCCCACCTGTGATATGTTTACTGACCGGAATAAAAACTAACGTATAACCCTTTCCATTCTTTTATATACCATGTGTATATCAAATTACATAGTGATTGGTTAAGCAGTCAAGACGCTGTAAGGCAACAAGCGAATGCACTTTTACATTTATAATATTATTAGTAAGCATTAGGATCTCAAATTTTTTTTATACAACATAGAATGGCAAACAAGCTGACGGCCCACCTGATGGAAAGTGGTAACCGTCGCCTATAGACATGAACAGTACCATGGACATAACAGAGTATACTGTTTCGCCCATTATACCTCCCATGCATTGCCATTTCTGAGGACTCAAGGCGTTATTCCTCTGTACTCTGTAAAGCCACTGCCATATCCCACCCTTCAAACCAAAACTCAACCATGCAAATGCAACTGCTTTACTGTAGAAACACGAATAGGACAGAGGTGCCCAAGCAAACGACTTTTGTACAAAGTCTCCCTCTGGTAAGTTAATGTTCTATCAGAATATGAAATTTCAAACTGTTTATTCTGTCATCAGCCAGTAACTTAAATGAACTACTATGTATTCAGTACTGTCATTACTAAGTACATACCTCTAATAAGAGTAGCAATTTTAATATACCGATAATTACTGTCCGCGCTACCTTTTATATAGCCTTTTTATATTTTTATCTAATGTTTCAAAGATATCGTAATAATTTTGTTTAAATATAAAATTACAAACTTAAATAGATATCGAATTTGATATTAGATAAAGGCCACACAAACTTACTCGAAAGCCCTGATTAAGAGGGTTTCAAAAATTACTCTAAAAATTTTTTTATAAAAATAATATGTGTGTTTGACAAACAAAGACTCTAACTGGACATTTCAAACTAAACAAGAATATGGTCCAACTAGGCTTATGTCCAAAAAGTGTTTGCAGATTCTGTCACAGTGAGGAAGAAACACCGCAGCACATAATGTGTGGCTGTAGCCCACTCATAAATAAACGACATATCACATTTGGAAAATACACTTTATATCCTATAGAGATAAAAAACATCGCTACAAAATATCTTAAAATTACTATCATTGATAGGAATTAGCAGCGAACTTTAAAACAAAAGGGCGAACACAAAAGATCATGGAAAGGTCGCAGTGTCACAGGTTTTTCTGCCTGAAAAAGCCCGTCTTTCAATAATAATAAAAGAGCCACGTAAGAGATGATAGGTATTTCAGTATTTGAATTAGGTTATGCTATCGAAAACAAATTTAGCACAGTTGTTTAGTTGTGGTATAAGAAATTAATATTTAATGTAGACGAAAATTAAAAATAACTAAGATTGTGTTTCATAAATTAAAAACCAACTTCAATTCTGGCAAAACCAGTTATTTTTATTTAAAAACTAAATTACAGCAGCGAAAATTTTTACGGGACCAATCTGTTGGTATGTCCTTTCAGATAAAAAAGAATATTCCAAATGAAAATAACTTACAACTAACGTAGTATAAAAAAATGCGACCAAATTGAGAACTTGCCTCTTTTTGAAGACGGTTAAAAATAACAGGATTTTAATGTTATTTTGTTGCTAGCTAGTTTTGACTCGCTAGCTAGTAGCTAGCTAGCGAATCTCAGTTGTTTAATGAGGAAAAAGCGACGGTGAATATCAAGGAAATACCACCTATTTTATTTATTAAACTTTGATATACTCGTACATAGGTAGTGTAAATAGCAGATTTAATACCATGACGTCATATGGTAAGTCTGTTTGTAACATTTAATTGTACAGTAAACTTTTAAATGCATCTTACAATCAACTCTTTTATACAGAGTTCTTAAAAAAAGAATAAGTACAATGGCAGACTTATCCCATAAAAGGGATCTATAATAATAGATATTTAAATTCCCTTTTTCAAAAATGGGAATTATTTACGTGATTTGCAGTTAGGACTTCTATATAAATAATTATAAATTATATAAACCGAAATCTAAAATTAATTTGAACTGAATTAATTTTAATTTAATTTGAATACTTCCCCAAAAAACAACGTATAACAAAATTCACCGAAATCGTTAGTCCTTTACGGGAAATGAAAACATAATAATAGAGTATTCTAGTACCTTTATAAATACCCACTTGCAAATAAACATTGCTTGTCAGATATATTTCTTCAGGCGTGATGACGCAAATTATTTTGTAATAGCTAATCTATTGTAACTGTATATAGAGAGAAGCTTATTAAAATTGAATCAGTGTTTAAAGGTGGTGACATGGAAATTAATTATGTCCCTTTGTAT